CTCCAAAGAGGAGATAAAACTGCTTAGTTGTTAATTTCTAATGATGTAAACACATTTGGATTTTAATGTTGTATCTGAATCTCCTGCATTATTAGCTCTGGGGTTATAAGACATTAACTTACTACCTTTAATAATTTTACACTTGAATTAAAAGGCATGTTTAAATATGACTTTATTTTAAAGTATTTTTGTTGAGAATATGATGGCATAATATTCATGTAATGGCAGAAGCAAATCACCTAATAAAACAGCTATGCATTCCTTTGCTTTTCTGCAGTGTAAGTATGTGCACATCTTGGTGTATAATTTCCAAAAACTGGCTGAATTCACCTCCTCTGGTATTGTAATTTCATTCCGCAAAAGCCACATTAAACAATTACAGTTCTTGTAATTAACCAGTAGTCTAATGTACAGTTTTCTTATCCCAATCCATTAACAGCTGCTCAAAAAACGTAGTAATTAATGGTTTCATTTATTTTTGGCAAACCTGCACCTCGACAAATAGTTTTGTATCTGTTGCAAATTAGGACTCTTTCCCAAACAACAGATGACACGATGGGGAAGTGGGAGCAGGAAGAATCCTTGCACATCTTTGTCTCTTTAGAAGATCAAATAAAGAGCAGCTGTAATGTTATTTGTCACATCTGTGTAAAGAGCTACCATGTTCCGTATCATCACATGGAGATGAACAAGTGCTGTACAAACGCACAAACAGGGTTTATCCTTTAAAACCAGGAAAAACAGAAAGTTCCAATTTTAACCAAAATAATGACACACTTTTGAAAAGCTCTCCTCAGGTTTGGTGTAATTCTTTCTCTTACAAGCTTTCTTTAAATACTAATTCACAGAGAACACAGTTATAAGAACTAAAAACATGTGAGAGTCATCCTCTTGTATCAGCACACGGCACAAATTTAAACTGGACTGTGAACAACTAGGGAAAGGAGGGAAAGTGAGGGTAGAAAAAAACCATGAAGAATTTCAGACTGTGCTGTTCACCATGGCAGGAGAAGATTTCAAAGACTTCTGGCCAGCTCATGTGATCACTGGAGGATTTGCACACATTGATTAAATTTTTAAAACAGCCTCAGTTAGGTAGGTGAAACCTGGCATGTAAAATTCTACTCCACCTTGAAACCTTTCATGAATATGACTTAGCCTTCTTTCAAGCCAGGATTGAACTGCATAGGAACTAAAAGTAGATTTTTTTTTTTTTCCTTTTTCAGAGGTCTTTGGGGGAACATTGGCATGTGGAAAGCCAATACAGAATTATCAAGATTCAACCCAAAAAAATTACTAAGCGGTAAGAATTTGGGTGCTATTTTCCTTTCAGTTTCTCAATTCAGGCATGTATTAAATTATAGTTACAATACAGTAAGAAAAAATAAATATGTAGATGACATAACTCATGGTAGTTAACTGGAGCACACTACAAAAAAATATGACACAAGACCTCTATGTAAAGGAAATAATTACACAAGAGTAACTTATTCACAGTCCATGGGTTTCCCAACCTGCAATTCTCTTGGTTCCAGATTTCAGCATAAATTACCTAGTTATCACATCAACTGTATGACCAAAGGCAAAAGGTGGTTAAGTATTCTGGTTATTCTGTCAAATGAGACCAAAGGTACTTCCCCTCTTCATAATGGTATTGTGAGGAAAAGTACATTATGTATTTAAATACAGAGACATAGCTGTGTGATGGAGGTCCACCCCCACAGTAAACAATGAAATTACATGTTCAAAATCACATTACAGCAGTTCAGCAAAATATCCTTCAACATTGTCCCCATTGCCGATCAAAGGAATCTCTTAGCCACGGAAAAATCTCCTTTAGGTAAGTTTTCAGGTAATTTTTTTTTTTTTGTAAAATTTTAAGGAAGTGACTTAAGAAAACATATTTTACCTTATGAGGAAAGCAGGCAAAGAGCCCATGACCAGCTTTGGCAGTTCAGCTGCCAAGCAGCAACTTGTTAACTCCCTGTAACTCAATCATGTGCAATTGTTTGCCCACTGCCTCAGGCTACAGACAGACATTTGGTCTGCTAACAACTGCGCCAGATGAAGACATTACTATCCCAAGCTATTTGTTATCACACATCTGCTGGAGATTATCATCTCCACAGCTCTGCTGGAGGAAAAAATCATGTGAGCAGGCCTTAATATGGTTTGTACAAAACCAGCCAATTTAATTTAAATAGGTGACTTGAGCTAGCCAGGCTGGTTTAGCCCAAAGCATATTAAAAAAATCAGAAAAAACCCCCTTCTTTACTGGCAAAAGAATAGGGAGCAAAAAAAAAGCAGCCAGAAGAATTATCTATCACCTTTAAGCAGTGTAGCTGCCTTGGGGAGGAGACTCTTCCCATCCTAATGTAAAGAGATAATGTAAACAGAGAACTTTTTCAAGGCTCTACAGGAGAAGGAAATGCAGCTTTTAAGAGAGTATTTTTTGGTACTGTTAATAACTTAAAAAATGAATGGGAAAAGTACGTATTCACAGATTAAATACTATCTGTACATAGTATAGATAGTATTTAGAACAGAATAGACATAGATATTGAATTGTATCATCATGAGTAATACAATCTATTCTGGTTCTAAGTTTTGTGGTGCAGGACTGTCCCCCTCCTTAACATCTGTCCATCAGTAGCCACATCAACAGTTCTCTACAGACTGATTATCTTGCCACTAGCAACAGTTTGTACAGGATTAGACAATTATCATTAATGTTGACAGAAGAAACCTTAGACATTAAAGCAAGTGCAGTAAAGCTCATCCCAGGTAGTAGGATTCCACCACAACGAGACAGCTGCAGACCACTGCCACGCTTAGAGCTCCACACCTTTCTGATGTATTTACAGAGTAAATTATTCCACTGTTCTAATGTAATGTCTACATGCTTAAACAAGAACTGTGTTTAGCCGTCCATAAGGGGTAAGAAAAGTCAAGGCAAGCATAGAAAATTGTGTATATGTACATATCTCAATACACATATGAAAACCAGAAACAAGCTCTTCCAGAATGGCAAACAAAGAAGAAATACAAATACCTGAAAACCATACAAAAAAGATCCAGAGAAATTCAGTCTTGCTAAAGAACCAGATTAGACTGTATTCTGGATAAGTACACTAATTTTATAGAATGTCCAAAACTTTTCCATTGCTGCTGTTTCTCACTGTATTTAGCAATAAAGAGTAAGGCAATATAAGGTCACAGCCACTGCTTTTCATATGCATTTTTTAAGGGGATTACTCATCTGAATTAGCTTGAGGTGTCCATATATTTTTATTATCTATCTTGTAAACAAGACTGCATGCTGTGAGGTTCTAAGACAGCATATGGCCTATTAAAAACAAGATTTTGTAGTTTGAAATATTTTTTAGAGTCACTTCAAGTTTCCATGGCAGACAGAGAGAATTGTGGTTTTCTGAAAGAGCACAAATAATTATTTTGAAATAACTTGACTCATTTGGATGAATCTTTATGTACATTGTAATATTAGTTTCTTACATAAGCTCTACTTAAATAATACAGATATTTTTTAGAAAATGCTAATCTTCAGTCTTGAATTTACCACCTATTACCTGCACACAAACCTGCCACATATTTATTGGGATAAGAGTCTATTAAGGTACTGTTAACGGGATGTGAGGAGTGGTTAAAGATCACTTTAGGTTTTCAAGGCCATTTTACAAGTCTCTATTCTAACTGCTTGTGCAGGTAAACATCAGTTCCCAAGAACTTCACTGGTCAGAATAACAAACACATAAGTTATGATTCTGAATTCCTCAAACTCTGTTTTATTTTGCTACAGCACAAAAAAGATCCTAAAAGACTCGGAATATAATCTGTTTCTTACTGCTCAGTTTAAACCCACTTTAAGTTTTGTGTAAGCAGTCTGATAGTAAGACTGCATTTATGGTGAAAATTCTATCTAAATTTAAGTAATTCTAAAATTCAGAGTGAAAGTATCATTTAACAAGTACACTTGCCAGAAAATCTATGCAGAAATTTTCAGAATTTTAATATAAGAGGTTTGATAGACAAAGATAATCACAATTTCTATAGATGAATGACTGACACTTCTGTAACCTATGTTTGAGAGCATGTAACCAGAACTAGTATACAATGAAACAGATTCTTATTTAATAGATATATTAAAAAATATATTGGTATACTTTTCCAGGTAATCATCAAGGTAAGTACCTAAAAATATTAAAAACTGTGGTCTGGGTGACCATATATATACTGAAATTCAACTGCTTGACAGGAAACTTTCTCAAGTGGTACCACAGAATTACATACTGGTATAAATTTTTTACAACTTTTTCATGAAAGTGATTTGATAGCACATTGTCATCTTTAGAGGACAACATAAAAATTCTGTAAGGTGTTGTGCATAGCAAGACAAGCATTTCTGTAGATTCTCATTTGAGAAAAACTAGAATGAAAATAATTATTTGGTAGAATAGATTCAGCAGGTGACTTGTACATAAAAAACCCCTCTAGAAACAGACTCCTAGACCAGTAAGTTCCGTCTTGAATTTTTTGTCTTTTGAGAGGAAGGAAAGAAAATGAAGAATAGAATTAGATTTGTTTTTATTAAGTCTTCACAATGAAATGCCTATTGTCAAAATACAAGAACAATTTAAGTATTATAGCATTTGAGTTATCCTTTTGATTTCAGATATGCATAATAGAATTTTATATATTTCCAGTGCTTAACTTACATGCCAGAAGCACAAACCTTACTCTGGCATCCATTTAGTTCTGATGTTCTAAAGAGATTAAGTTAGATAACAGTGCAGTTGCATAGTCAACAAAAAAGGTCTAATACTCATATATAAGGCAAAGATTATGCCATGCAAAAAATTCATGAAAGTAAGTCACAAAAAATCCCAGACCTTTGAAAATACCCCAAAAGAATAGTGTAAATTTTACATAAAGATTTAAGGAATCAATAAATTCAATTAAAGGCAAATACCACATTAAGTTACCTGCTGGCTGTTTTTACAGAGCTGTTCTTCTTGTGTCCCCTGTCTGAGCGGTTGTCTCGTAGGAGCTGAAGCTGTTAAAAAAAATTAAATTCAGAAGACTCTCACAAACAATACCTGTACTTGCTCTTTAGAATTGCTATATGGACAATGCAGTTATTTCCTCTCTTGAGTAATCTGTCAATAGCTTTCACCCATGACTTTTGAGATGAATATTAATAGAATTTTACAATAATAGTTAATATGTAAATATATATATATGCAAAAAAATATATATCCACTAATTTAAAATGCCTAAATAATTGGAAAGTAAGAATCAAAGCATTTTCAAAGCATAATAGAAAGTTATGCAATTCACAATTAACTTATGTGTAAAATTTTATGATTTTCACAATTTCAATTTAAATTTTTGAAGTTGTATAATTAGAAGTGTTGGAGGACACTTAATTTACAAAAAACTAATCAAGTTAGCACTTGTGTCTAAGCAGTTATGAAACAGTTCTAAATTCTTCTGAGCCTCAGGAGCTTTAGTAATTTGCAAGCTGCGGAATAAACAAAAACACAGTATTAAAGTTTCCTGTAATAGTGAGGAAGTAGGAGTAGTGAAGGATTTGTTTAACTGAAATGATGACTCAGTTTCTGAAACAAGCTGTCTTTTATTTTTAGACAAGTAAGACTTTTCATTCAGACTATCTCCAACACTCTGAAGTCTATTTCCAGCATTATGATGTTTGTCAGATGAGTCAGGTGCACTAAGTAAAAAACAACCATGAGAATACTATACTAAAAAAATTAAAACTGGACAGAATAAAACCTCCACAAATGTTTGAAATGTCTCATATATTGAAGAAAAAATAGAATGAAAGACTGTTGAGAAACAAAGTAGAGATAAATTGACCTAATATTTGCAGGAGGACACTTCAAAATCCCATGGAAGTTAGGAAATTATCAACTTCAAGACTCGGCCAACCACACCTTCATGTTGTAAATGAGCACAGACTCCAAAAACTGCTACCAGTCTGAAAACCTGAACAATTTCCCCCCACTTTCTACAGCTTCCTTCCTGTACGAGGAATGCTTCCTGTCATTTCAACTATCTTGTTCTGAGATGCAGTAAAATAGTTTATAACTTAAATAAATTTAGTGAGAATTTCACTGGTTGTCAAAATTACATCACACCACCATTACACCATTTCTTTTCTTCTGTCTTATCAAAAAGCTCAAACCCCTTATGCACCGCTAACATCCGTAACTCATAACATTAGCTTTAGTTCACAAGTCCTTATTAATCTGTAAGTTACAAATTCAGTTAACTTCCAACAACCTCTAACAACACAGCTCTTAGGAAAGATGAAAAAATCCACGTAAAATACAAAATTACCTAAAATTTACTATTATCTGAAAAAAATTGATTAATTCATTCCATACCAGCTAAGCAGACATTTCTCATCTTCTAGGCTGAAAATCAGTGCTGGTATGTATGATATACATTAAGTTGCTTCTCATTTGGGAATTTCCTTATTTTTCAGCTTAGAATCTTTTAAGGAAGTAAACAGTACAACTTCAATTAACCCCACTATATGACACGATCAAGATTTAAAAAATTACTGAAACTCATAGTAATCTAATTCTTTTTTAGGTGTTTCTTCAACTAGGAAAATTATTTCAAAATAATGACCATTAAATATGAATTATACAAAGCTGTCTACTTAGAGGTTAAGTGTCAGTCAGCTTACTGTAACATGCTGGAATCTCACAATTTACAGCTAAAACTACTATGTTTTATCTACTCTGGCAGTTTTTGGTAAGCAGCATTGAGTTCAAAAGAAAGGGGAGGGAACAGGAAAGTTTTAAACTATGACTTACTGGAGCTACAAGTATTCATGATGGATAATCCTAAAATTAACCTTCCAAGGACTCTTCAGATTTTATTTCCTTTTGAAGTTTCAAATCTATTTACATTTGCAAAAGTACCAGCAAACTGGAACAGATCTAAGGAAATCAACTGTTATATAAATTTTTTCCAACTTAAAGAAATGGAACGTTTGTGTTAAATTTCAATGCATTGATGATATATTCAGCTACTTTTACTGAATAGGTGAAGTTAACTACACATTTGTGAAATGAAACCAGATTTATTTTCACATTTTATAGTTTTGGACTGTAAGTTCTGTTTAGACCATTCATAAAGGTATTCCTCCATCTCTGAAGACAAGCTAAAGAACTAAGTGCTATGCTACCAATCAAATAATAAATACAGCTTCACATTCCTGCAACTACATCTCTAGGCTTGGATCTCCCCGGGACTGCACTGTGGGGGCTCAGCAGACAAACTAATAAGGTATTTTCACCAATGTCTGCACCACAATGGAGATTTAACAGCACCTCTTTTTCTGCTGTAGTCATTGTAACCAATGAAATGCAGAAAAATGGAACTGAAGATCTTCCTGTAGAAGCCTCTCCACTTGTGTAACTGGTTCTGTGTTTCTTGATTTTCGCAGCAAAATGTTTTGCTTTCCAGCATTTTGAAAAAGGTAACATTTGGAGATACCACAATTGACAAAATTATTTAAAAAAAAAATCAGAATTTTCACTTGAATGTTAAAACCTCAAGAATATTTAAGTGAAATTAAGTGACTAATTAAAGAGTTTTAATTAAGAGAATTTTGGAAATGCACTGCTGTATGTTTGCTCCCAAGAAGATACGAAATTATACCTCCTTTGTTGAAATTTCTTAAAATATTAGCCCACTACCTCTGGAGTAGAGGTAGTTAAAGTTCTTTATACATCTCAAGTAAACTGTTCTTGATCAAAGCAATTCTTACCTGGCTATGTTCCTTCCTAGCCCCAGGGCTAAACCAGTGACTGTGGGAGAAAAAGAAAAGACAGTTTTAACAACATAACTAACAAAGCACATGCTGTCATATGACCAGTCTGTGCGTGCTTTTGGGTATTTTATTGCCTGCCAGGAAAACACAGCCTTTGGCAATGGTTTATTTTAATGGGCTATTTTTATTGAACTCCTTAAGTTTGTAACAGTTGTGAAAGAATGCATCACCGATTGCACTTCTGAGTAGCTGCTGGCTTTGCAGGTAATAATATTTTGTCAAACAAGCTAAAATAATACGTAAATGATGGTATTTTAATATACTACAATGCACATGCCATAAATTAGAGTAATTCCATATTTAGTACTGAAGTGGTACTTATTAATGATTATAGCTTAAAAGTCTTTCAAGTAGTTTGGACTACCTGCTACCTGTTAATGTATTATTTCACAAACTCAGGTCTGAGATTGAATCTAAAGCAAAATGCCAAGTCTGAAAACCCAGTGGCTTTGTATTTCCATACAACTGCAAAACTGTGACTACTGGCTACCTCATTTCACAGAGACGGAAATTCGGAGTAAGATTTTGACACACAGGGATGCCACAATGTGCCTCTTCCCTCAACAGCAGTAAAAACATAATACTGGTTCACATACACACTCTGGTCACAAAGAACTGAATTACCATCTGAATGGAGCTGTAGCAAGCATCATACAAACCTGCACATTGAAAAATGAAAAGAAGACAAAAAAAATCCTACAACAAGAGGGATCTCAAGTTACATGTAGCATCTACATACTATTTGGGTTAAGCAAGCAATAAGTTTTGGTCAAAGGATAAAATAATTCCATCCATCACAATATTGCACAGAAAAGAACATCCCCACTATCTGCTATTATGCTTGCATGTTCCTCTAGAAGTGTAACCAAAGATTACAGCTTAACCTAGCCATGCTTCTTCTGAAACAGTTCCATTCAAAATAATTTAGTCCAATTTTCTCCTCTAAGCAGCTATATAATGACACTTAAATTTTTACTTTAATTAGTACACTGAGAAGATTCCAATTCCATGGAATTGTCTGGTTTAAATCTCTTTTATTTTCAAGTCACAAATCTAAAAATTTTGTGGCTTTTTGTCACTCAGCTTTTCAGAGTTTGATAACAAGCAGTCAACCCTCTCATTCTTGCGTAAAAGATCAGAACATCCATACTGCTTTTTCTACTTTTAAGGTGATTAAGGAAAAGGAGTTGGAAATAAAAAAGGAATTACAGCAATAAAGTCAAAAGTATACCTTGAGACAAAGTAGACATCTATATATTTTGGACACAAAACATTCATCAATTGCATTCAATAGCTCAAAATCTGGTGAAAATTGGGAGATTCTATATACACACAACTTTGATGCTGGTAGTGGATGGAAAGTAAAAACATCACATTTGCAAGTGATTCAACAAATAAGATCACAATTGTCCAGGGGCTGATGAAAATCAGAATATAATGGGTTAGATTTAAATTCTACATAGATGTTTGTCCTGTCTCTGACCAGTGTGAACACCAAATGCTCAAGGAGGAGCAGCAAACTGGGGCATCCTCCACATCAACTCTTGTGGATTGTGCCAAACCAGTTGATTACAGACTAAATGATTGGTAAAAACATATTTCTAGTGAAAAAGTACATCAAAGTAATTGGAATACACCTCATATTTAGATATTAAAAATACTTCAAAAAGAATAAGACTTTTTTTAATGGGAAAGTGATATATCACACTAATTTTAAACTTTTTGCCCATTCCCCTAATTACAATATTATTTGTCTGCTTGTTTCTTTTAAAATAAGCAAAAGTAAAGCCCAGCTGAATTATTACTTGGTAATAAAAAGTTATGGTAGAAATAACTTATGAAATCAAAACCTCTTGAATTTACACACACTTTATCAAGTTATGAGACAAAACAGAGGTGGATCAGTGGTGTAAAACAGTTGGTACCAAGGAGCTGATGTTGGTAGTAGCTTGGCTTTGGCAAGTTTTGTTTTAAACCGTGGATGATATATTTAGTAGCAGTTAGAACACATAAATGTATCTTCAAATATACTATGTCCTCATTATGTTTCTCTGTTTTTTAGTGTTTTCATTTGAAAAATAAAGGAAAATGTAATCCTAAAGTATTCAAAAGATGTAACCAATAAATAATGCTGTTAAGTGTTGTCAGCTGAAGAGAATGAGAGTTTACAATAATGACACACTAGAGTAACTAAACAAAGTGAATTACACTCCCTATTTACAGGTATTTAAACAATGAATTCAATATCTTTTTGTGAAAATTATTATAAATTTCTTCCTCACATGAAAGACCAGAAGATGTATTTTCATACATGCCAGTTTTGCTATCCAGCCTTAAACAACTTTGTGTTTTAGGAAAGGATATTTAGGAAGTTAATAAAAACATACTTACAAAGCACTGATTTTCATGTTTCCTTAAGAAACATAAAAATTAACTAAAAAGGATTGTAAGTACTTTTATTAAATAAAGACCATCACATAACTGAGCTGAGGCTCTCATCACAAGAGATGTTTGTGCAGTTGTAAAATGTGGCTTTGGGGCAGAGATACCATTGTAAAGCTAATAATAACAAAAAAAATTGTAATTCCCATCACTGATACTTACTCATGGTGAAGAGAATCCTGGGACAAGTGAACTGTTTTCCTGCTACCTCCTGCTCCTGGAGTTATCTAATGGAAACATGAAGGAAAAAGGAAGTCTTTGAATACTGGGGCAGCATATGCACAAAATGATTGCTTATTAAGAAAATACATCAAAAACATTAAATACAAAATAGAGACAGTATACTAGATACAGTAAATGCAATCAGCAATATCTGCAATTTTTCAGTAAAGTCTGAGTGCAGAAAGTGCTATATGAGATTAAGGAAAACCCTTTATGAACAATTTTGATTAGATGTCAGACATAAAGACATTTACAGATGTCAACAACCTAAGCTACTTTTCTGTAAAGTCCATTTTACCTGCAAAAAAGGAAAGTTAGATGTTTTGAAAATCATAGCCAATATGGCTCATACAGCAATAAATTTATTAAAAAAACAACCCTCCCAACACAAAGCTTTTGAAATTCAAGTGTACACAGGACAGAAAGCAAAGGTAAATTATTTTTACCAAATGTACCGTAGTCCTTGTCTAGTGTTTTATACATACTGTAACCTGAAATATGTGCTATCCTCAGCTGAAGAATGATCTTCAGAATGCACAGGAGCATGTGCAGACTTTTGCAGGTGATGACATACTGATATTGCTCAAGAAAGGATTCAAACAGCTTTGCTTTTATTTTTGCAAAATGCTCAATTCACGTGCATATGTAGATAAATAAAAGCAGAAGAATAAGAGACAATTCATGATACACATGCTCAAGGAACTAGAGTAGCAGGCAAACTATTCCTGATGGAAAGAATGAAGCAGCAAACTTTCCATTCCTTGGAGATAATTTTACGGTCAGGAGATGACCAGAGGAGGGAATGAAGTCAGATGTTCTTGCAGGTTTGACAGGAGACCACAAAAACTTAATGCTAATACATTTATATGGCTCAGGCTTGCCAGAAGTACATAAGCTGGAGATTCATGGATAAAAGCAGCCCACTCATTATTATAAGAACAATGAGCTCAACTCTTTAAGTAAAACCTCCCTATTAATCTGGTGCTGTAATGGAGAAAAGGCAGGGCAGTCAGAGCTCCAAGTCTGGAAGACTTTCAAAGAATGCTCACTGAATAATTTGAGAGTTCCACATGGTTAAAGTATTTGACCAAAATCTGCTTCTTTGACCTGAAGAATGATGTCACTCTGGGCTGAATTGAGAAACCATTAAGTGCTGTCACTTTTCTGGCTGAGGGGGATAAAAAAGCATTGGTAAAACCTTACCTCTGAAAAATCTATGCAAACATACAAATCATAGTAGAGGAAATCACATAGGACAGCTACATAGGAGAACAGCACCTACTGCTTTATTCCCTTTTGGAATTTACTGTTTTACTAGACTGATCAAGGCCTTACACAGCCATGGGATGATAATAAAACACTGACCAAATGCTACTGTTTCAATGTCATAGCTCATCTAATACTAAAACTGAGAAATGGCCATTCACAAAGACAGACCTGGAAACAGAGGCCAGTATTTTAATATGTAATTTCCAAATTTTAAGATTAATAACTACACTGTTACTTTAAAACTACAGGTAAGCATGCAGCTCAGCTCTTGAGAGTTATATCCTGCATTAATCTCAAAATGAGGTTTTCATGCTATTCCGGTGGGTATCCCTGGAATATAGTAATCCATTTTCTACACTGTGGCTATAAGAAAAGCGGACTGTGCCTATGTCATGCTTTGTTAGAGGTTCATGATCACATTATCTCATGGTGGACCTGACACTTTTATTCAGTTTACAGTATGTTCTGTGTACAGGCAACTTATTTCCTTTGCCAGGGCTGCTGACAACCTTTTCCACACTATATTAATCTTGTTTACAGACTTTATCTTGGTACAAATATCAGAAAACTGAACTTTTTATCTCAGGGAGAAAATAAACAACATGTTGACAGAAGCAAAAGCTATTTTCTGGACTAAAATTGGTTGTTTACCTGCAGCCATACTTATGGAAACAAGTTTAAGTTTCCAGCTTACTCAAAATACATAATCTGAAATTTAATAAGCATGGAAATTTCAAGAAAATTCACTTGATAAATTGCCAGTTTTAAAATAATACAGAAACCACAGAAGTAGGTTTTTCCACCAATTTTTATGAGAGTATGAACTTGCTTGGAATACTGTTACAAGTGATCACAGTGTTCAGGTTTCTCCTGCACAGCCCAGATAGCTTCAGCTACCACACAGCCACAGAATGTTTGTAAAACTAAAGGCACAAGGTACACACATACAGACCTTTGCATCAAACTTGCTGCTAATTACTCTAAGATTCCCAATATGCTAATGCAATTCCTGTTTGCAAAACGTACCAAGGGTATAAAAAACTAAACCAAACCTAATTGCCCATCTTCATCTGCTACCTCACCATTACAAAAATCTTCAACATTAATAAAGTTCAGGGTCATTTTTGAAACTTTTATTCTCTTCTGGCTACAAGTCCTTTCACCACTGCTTGAATAAGAAGACAAGGTGATGGCTGCATCCTGTTCATAGAATCCCTGAGACACAGGTACTCCAACTCAGAGACAAAGTACTCCTGATTTGCAAAGATTTCTTTGCCTGCAAAATTATGACCTAAAATAATGGGTACAGAAAAAAGAAAAAGTATTCAATACTAAGGGGTTCTGCCTCAGAATACACAACACCATCTACTGCTGCCCAAAGTCACAGTTGGAAAAGGCTCCCAGGACCATCAAATCCAACCTTCAACTGAGCATCACCATGCCCACTTAAGCCCTATCAAGAAGTGACACATTTCATTCTTTGAACACCTCCCAGGATGGCAATTCCACCATTTTCCTGGGCAGCCTGCTCTAATTCTTAACCACCATCAGTGAGGAAATTTTTCCTAATATGCAACCTGATCCTCCCCTGCAAGATACTACACGTGACAAACTTCAGAAGTGACGTAAGGAAAGATGGTGGGATTAAACACAAAAAGGACAAGAAAGTCAAAGGACTTCACTCTGGCTAAAATAATGTTAAGCTCCTCAACTGTCATTTTAAAATGCCAATAATAGAGAATAGAGCATTTTGGCTCGAAGTAACCTACAGTGAACATCTTGACCAATTCTTGGCTGACCAATTTGGAGTGCAATTGTTAAGGACACAAAGGGGCACATTGTTAATTGTCCAAAACCACCAACTGGTTTGGGGCATCAGCCAAGTCTCTCAGAATCCTGCTTTGGTGTTTGAACACACCCTTGGTAAATAAATGCTTCCTGATGTCCAGTCTGAACCTCCCCTGGAGCCGCTCTGCACCATTCCCACACATGGTACCCCAGGGATAAGAGATGAGGCCATCAACACTTCCCCTCCTCAGGAAGCTGTGAGAGGTCACCCCTCAGTCCCCTTTCCTCCAGTGCAGACAGGCCTGGAGCCCTCAGCCACAGCTCACAGGACATGCCTTCCAGGGCTGTCAACAGCCTTGCTCTCTCCTCTGGACATGTTCAAGGACCTTCATGTCCTCCTTCCACTGTGGAGCCCAGAACTGCACCCAGCACTGGGGGGGGAGGCTGCAGCAGCGCTGGATCCTGCGAGATCATCCCCCCTTCTGAGTGGCTCACACCACTGAGGGACAGGGAGCAAAGTGCCCACAGCTCAGTCACAGGGTGCTTGAACACCACCACTTACTTTATATGAACAGGCTAAACAGTGTCAAAGATTGGAGAAATAAAAAATAATCAATTTATGCATCTCCTAATTAAATATGATAGTGCTATTTTAATTTACATGTGCTGCAGTTTAAAGGAAAGTTACTACCTGGCACCAAGAAAAATCTACAAAACATTAATGCAGAACAAAAATATTACACTGCACTTAACAATTCTGCTTACTTTTCCTTTGAAGTATATTTTAATGTTCAGTTACTGAATAGCCCAGGAAAAGTCATGAATTATTTTTTAAAGACATCTATGATACAAAGCTCTCAAGTGTGAATGTTTTCAAGACTCAATAACTTCTTAGTATTTTAAATAGTATAAACAACCCTACTATGCATGCTCATCCATTCTTGTCCCTTATTTTTTCCCATGTTACCACACAATCAAATGAGCAAATACACTCCCTGTTCATAATTTATATTTATTGTAAGGCATAATATTTTTGAAAAAACACAAGCTATGTCCTATTCATAACTGTTCCTGAGATATATTTTCCATTACTGAAAAAGTAAGTTTATTACAGATTAAGTAGGTTTTAAACACTGAAATTGGTATTTTTGCCTTTTGAATTCTATTTTATGCCAAGCACTCCATAGCATGGGCAATGAAAAGATACTCCTGAGCTCATGTTTTACAGGATGTTATTTCCTTGCCATGATTCGGTGGACTTGACAGTGCTGGGTTTATGGCTGGACTCGATCTTTCTTACATGTCCTTTCTAATCTAAATGAGTCTATGATGTGCTTTAAAAAGTCACATAAATAATTATAAAAGCACTTGACTTGAAAGCTTAGCTTAGTTGTCACAATATGTCACATTCATAGCAGAGAAAAATGAGCAAAATTTCAGTGAAATTTTGCTGGACACTAATTACACAAATAAGCTAGCTGCTGTCCTAAATGAAAGAACAGGTTGCTCTTTCTGCTCTGTAAATTAACTGGTATGATCAACTACAGCTTAAAAAGTTGCATAGCAAACCCAATTTTCTCAGGCAGGATTTCTGCACAGAAGTTGTTTTCCAAAATGAAATGCAACTAAATTCAAATCCCAGGGAATGGGATTTTGCAGGAAATTACAGCATGACAATGTCAAATTCATAATTCACAGATCTGCAACTGTCACTTTATAGGAAATTAAATCAAACTATATCAAGGGAAAAAAGAGAGTAAAACCTCTTCTCCTCATTTTATTGCACTGATTAAAAGCAATACCTTACTATTTTCGGCACCTATTTAGTATTATCATTTTTTACCCCTTCTCCACTAGCAACCTTGGAAAGTACATACACTAAACAAGGTTCTGGATTTAAAATACATCTTTAAAAAATATAGATGCACATTTGACTTGGAGCAATATA